TCGGTTCAATTTTAAAGTGACGTACATCCCTAGTGCGTTGAATCAAAGGGCGGATGCCCTGTCTAGGAAACCGGAGTACTCTGACCCTGCGGACTCGCTTCCACCCAGGACTGTTCTACCCGTCGAATCCTTCGCTGCAGTGCATGATCCCATGGACTTACGGTCTGATACGGGATGCGCAGCGGGACGACGAGTGGGTGGAGCAACGGAAGGCCGAGGTAGGGCCGGCTTCCCCGTGGACCTTTGATGATGACCTTTTGAGGTATCAGGACCGGCTCTATGTGCTCGCAGGGCCCCTCCGTGGACTGCTTCTCTCCCAGTTTCATGACACTCCAGCAGTGGGACATTTTGGGCTTTTCAAGACATTGCACCTGGTCTCCCGTACTTTCTGGTGGCCCTGCTTACGAGACAACGTGCAGAAGTACGTCACATCATGCGTACAGTGTCGACAGGCCAAGTCAGAGACGGGAGCTCCTCCAGGTTTACTGCAGCCCTTGCCGACCCCGGACAGACCCTAGGAAGACGTGTCCATGGACTTCTTGACAGAGCTGCCTCCGTCGTCAGGGTTTTCCACGGTCCTTGTTGTGGTGGATATGCTCACCAAGATGGCGCATTTCATCCTGTCGGAGATTGCCGACAGCCCGCGCCACGGCCCGCATGTTCATCCAGCATGTGTTCCGCTTACACGGCCTACCTGACTGGGTCGTCTCGGACCGTGGGACGCAATTCACGGCCCAGTTTTGGAAAGGGCGGATGGCAGCTCTAGATGTCCAGGTGTGTTTGTCCTTGGCGCACCATCCTGAAACCGATGGGGGGTATGGAGAAGGTGATTGGGATCCTGGAACAGTACCTGCACTGCTTCGTGAATCAGCAGCAGAACAACTGGGCGGAGTACCTGGCCGTGGTGGAGTTTGCCTTTAAAAACTCGCAGCATACCTCCACACGGACGACACCCTTCATGGCTAACGTCGGGTACTAACCTCGGTTTTTCCCTCTCACCCCAGTGGACTCCCCGGTCCCCGCAGCACAGGACTTCCTCTCTGAGCTCCAGTTGGTCCATCAAGTGGTGCGCCACCATCTGAATCAGGCAAAGGAAGACTACAAACGGGTGGCAGATAAGTCTCGGCGTGCGGTGCCGGAGTTGGCTCTGGGAGATCACGTGTGGCTATCCATGTGACATCTTCCATCCCACCGGCCGGCTAAGAAGTTGGATTACCGGTATCTTGGGCCGTTCCCCGTGGAGACCGTCATCAACCCAGTGGCCTATCGCCTGACCCTTCCACGCTGGATGCAAGTGCACCCGGTGTTCCATCGCTCGCTCCTGATCACTGAACGATCGGCTTGTACTCTCCGCCAACCCTCTTCCCCCCAGCCGTCATTGCGTGAGGTAGACACGTGGCCACAGCACGAAGTGGCCCGGATCCGTGACTCGAGATGGCTCAAAGGACGGTTCCAGTATTTGGTAGACTGGACGGATGAGGGGTCAGACGGGAGGACCTGGACCAATGCAACGGACGTGCATGCCCCTGCTCTGGTGCGAGCCTATCATGCGCAATATCCCTTGAGGCCACATCCCGAGCGTCAGACCCGGGGGAAGGGCCCTGNGGTCGAGACTATTGATGGCCGGTTGCTTCTGTCTGGGCCTATCAAGGCCGCCACGCAACCTTTGCGCCTGATCCTTGGGGAGCACGAGGAGGCCATCCAATTTTACATGGCTTCGGGCCTGCATTTCCCCGTGGTCTTGGCTTGGCTGCGGACGCACGACCCTCAGATCTACTTGTCGTAAAATCTGATCACATTCCCGTCCCTGCAATGCGTCGACCACACCCGGCAGGTCTGTGCGGCCCAGGTACCCAGCTCACCCAAGGTGGCCGTGCCGCCGGGTTTAGCGGAGTTCGCGGATGTCTTCAACGAGCAGGAGGCGGATCAACTGCCACCGCATCAGCCTTATGACTGTCGCATCGACCTGGTACCTGATGCGAAGCTCCCTACGGGTCGTCTGTACTCCATGTCCGAGCCGGAGTTGGCTGCATTGTGAGACTTTCTTGACAAGAACCTCGCCCGGGGGTTTATCCGGCCTTCGGCTTCGCCCTTGTCGGCCCCGGTTTTGTTCGTGAAAAAGACCAGGGATCTGAGACTTTGTTGCGATTACCGACACCTGAATGCCATCACGGTACGTAACCGTTACCCGCTGCCACTGATTCCTGAGTTGTTGGAGCGGCTCCGGGAGGCAACGGTGTTCATGGAATTGGACTTGTGTGGGGCCTACAACCTGGTTCGTGTCAGGGCGGGGGACGAATGGAAGACGACCTTTGGCACCCGGTACGGACATTTCGAGTACACGGTCATGCTGTTCGGGTTGACCAATGCGCCGGCGGTCTTCCAACATTTTATGAATGATATCTTCCAGGACCTTTTGGATCAGTTTGTCGTCATTTACCTGGACGACATCTTGATCTACTCGACGTCCCGGAAGGATCATCAACATCACTTGCGTCTGGTCTTGCAGCGACTCCGAGAAGATCATTTATTAGCAAAGCTGGAGAAGTGTCAGTTTTGGCAGACTACCATCGAGTTCCTGGGGCACCGTATCTCCCCTGAAGGAACTGCAATGGAGCCGGGCAAGGTGGAGGCGTTGCGTAGTTGGCAACCTCCTCAATGTTTGAAAGATGTGCAGAGACTCCTCGGGTTTGCCAACTACTACCGGACCTTCATCCCTAGCTTTGCTTTCTTGACCGCGCCCCTCACTCGGCTCCTGCANTGCTTGATGACTGTGGAAGAGATGCATGAAAACCTTTTGTAACCAACTGATACACTTTCTACAGTATGTATGGATGAGAATTTTTTATGTTGTTTCTTATGTTTAAAAATAAAAAATAAATGCAAAAAAAAAATTCACCTGAGGGAAAAACTCTCAAAATGTGATTCTCCCTTAAGAGAGCAGGTAAAATCTATGTGTGATATTTTTTAATATGGTTGAAACTTTTCAATACCCTGTTTTCTTTTAACCATCACAAAATAAGAGTTCGGGGAGATTTCTAAAACTAGACTGGGCAACAAGCAGGAGTGTTCAGAGTAGCAGAATAACAGAGTTGGAAGGGACCTTGGCAGTCTTCTAGTCCAACCCCCTGCTCAAGCAGGAAACTCTATACCATTCTGGAGAAATGGCTGTTCCATCTCTTAAAAACCTCCAGTGTTGAAGCACCCACAACTTCTGAAGGCAAGCCATTCCACTGATTAATTGTTCTATCAGGAAGTTTCTCCTTAATTCCAGGTTGCTTCTCTCAATTAGTTTCCATCCATTGTTTCTTGTCCTGTCTTCAGGTGCTTTGGAGAATAGGTTGGCTCCCTCTTCTCTGTAGCAGCCCCTCAAATATTGGAACACTGCTATCATGTCACCCCAGTCCTTCTTTTCATTAATCTAGACATACCCAATTCCTGCAACCATTCTTCGTATCCCCTCAAATACGAAGAATGGTTCCAAGGTCATCTTTTCCCACGTACCTGTTTGTTAGCGAACACTAAAAGGACAGCGTCTCTGAGCTCATCTTCTGCTAACATTCTCATAAGCTCTTCTCTGGCTTCGTTAACTCGCTCTCTGTCATTACTATCGACCACAAAGATCAAGCCTGAAAGGAAACAGTAACTGTTAAATAAACATGTGCCAGGGATTCTAGTAAACAGCCATCTAGATATTTATTTCACAACCCTGGCCACTTAAGGTGTGTGGAATTCAGTTCCCAGATTTGCCTAGATTTTGGAGGAGGAAAAGCTTGCATGAACTGGCTGGGAGTTGAAGTTTTCTAGGCATTATACTAAATCGTGTATTTTCTTAATTCACATTTATATTTTAACAGGTTATGATTCTGGCAGCCACTAAGCCAAAGCTTGACTCATTTAATTCAGCAATTTCAGGGATGGAAAACCTGGCTCTCCTAACAGCAAAGCTAAGCTGGCTAGGGAATTCTGGGAGTTGAAGTCCACTCATCTTAAAGCATGCTGTGGCTGGGGAATTCTGGGAGTCGAAGTCCACCCATCTTCAAGCTGCCATGGTTGAGAAACACTGCAGACCTCTGTTCTGTCCCTCCTTCATGGCTCTTAACAAACGGCAAGACGAATAAACTTAAAAGGAACTTTCTTTATCAGTTCTCAGTTCAAACTGGCTTCGAGCCCAAAAATAACAAAAATACAGTCTCTGACTCGATAACGGAATGAAAAACAAAACAACTCATACAAGCAATGCACTTCTCCAGTGTAGCCGTGAATCAGGGTTACAGGAAACACCAAAGCACTTATCCAAGTGCTGATCAAGCAATGTTGTACCAAACAAGAAACGCACGAAGGAACGTTGACTCCTGCGACCAGGGCGTGGCACCATCCGTCCTTTTATCTCCAAACCTGCCTCTAACAAGCCCTAGCTGCATAATGAATCTTGTA